TTAGTTATTTGTAAACATTACTAGTCAACCTGGAAGCACTGGACGGCTATTTTGTCCTGGTATAGGACTCAACAGCAGTACGTATACACGACTCCTGCAACCCACAGGATTCGAACCCGGGACCTTTGCTCTGCAACACAATTTTGAATTAACCAGCATATAAGCATATATTATCAAATTTGATGACGATATATGTCGTTGTGAGTTTCGGAGTAGTAAGACTTCTTTGAAGTTCTATCAATGAATGATTATTCATGATTATTTAATCCATTGACTGAATTTTTTGCAATCTAATTTCATTTTGATATCGATTGAAATTAGAAGCCTTAACCGAATAGTTCGTTTCTACTTTTTTCTTTCATCATTCATATAATATTCAATGTAGCTGATAAGTTTAATGAATTCAGTGTTAATCATAATCGTTGTTTGAATTTTGACTTTTGACAATTCTGTTAAGATAGTTGTAAATGTTTACTAAAGATAAAGTATTTAGAGCATTGGTCAATGTAGTTTTGTTACAAGGGGTTTCGGTGAATCTGTTAGTTCCATTGTGTGTTCAGAGAACACATAAAACATATTCACAAATATATTAATCATACGTTTATAAGTGAATTCCAGACGTTCCAATGATATAATCATAGCTTGTGAAGTCAGCTTAAGGGGCAGTAAATTAGTAAAGATATTATTCGAAGAATATAGCATTATCACCAAGGTGCTGACATCGTACTTCACCATTTAATGTTCCCTATGATATCTTCTAAATTCCGTAAATCTCCGTCTTGACGACCGTTATTATAGAACACGAGTCGTTGCTGCAATTTCTTTGTTATTCAAACTATTTTATGATCGATTCACATCGAGTTCGAGAGCTTCTCTGTCGACGTAGCTCTTCACGTTGCATTATGTTCGAAGTCGGGAATTCTCGGTAATCTTGTATTCTCAGACCATCACGTCAGACTCACCATTTTAGCGTCTCACAACTGAGCTACTAATGTCAGTAGTCCAACATCACAAGTTTCTGAATTCTTCTTATTGAGATTGTTGAGTTTCATTCAAATCATGCATCAATCAATGTTAGACCACACCATTAGAAATCTAGAAGCATGAAATAATGATTGAGTAGTACTGAAATGTCTTTAACTCGGATAACATATATCCATCGAACTCTTCATGGTACTTGCTGTTATACCACACAAGATCTATCTCCGTCTGTAAATTAGTAATTTGAACACTAAACTGTATGACTTATCAATATTTACACATTTTTGAAACCATGAATAGATCAATGTTAGATCACCATTAGAAACCTGGAAGCACTGGATGGCCGTTTCGTCCTGGTATGGGACTCCTCAGCAGTGCGCATCCACGACTTCTGCACCCCGCAGGATTCGAACCCAGGATCTTCGGTATTGTGCGCGAACGCCCTAACCGTTAAACCAGTGAGCCGGTATCCAACGGTGTTAATGTCTAACTTCGATCAATTCACGGAGTTGCGCAACCTCATACACAGTCTTCGGTAGACACCGCCTACACCCGAGCAGGTTGAACTTCACTGGTCACGTCTTCCCACTAGAACTCGGAGAAGATTGCTCACGAAGACGTGACCATTGAAGTTCAACCTGTTCGGGTGTAGACAGTGTCTACCGAAGACTGTGTATGAGTTTGCGCAACTCCGTGAATTTGATCAAGTTAGACATTAACACCGTTAGATACCGGCCCAATAGTCTAACGGTTAGGGCATTCGCTCACAATACTGACGGTCCTGGGTTCGAATCCTGCGGGGTGCAGGAGTCGTGGATGCACGCTGCTACTGAGGATTCCCATACCAGGACGAAACGGCCGTCTTACAGTGCTTCCAGGTTTCTAATGGTGTGAGTCTGACATTGATCGATTCATGGATTCAAAAATGTGTTGTAACTTAACAATCTTCAAAACCCAGTTATCAATATTTATAATAAAAAATACTAAAACTCAAATAATTTCCATTCAATTATGATTTGAATTCATAAAACGTTTTTTTTTTCTATAAACGTCATATTATTTCAACAACGACAAAAAAAAACTAATACGTTTATTCTTTCTTTATTGATCAATCAGATTGGTATGGATAGATTAAAATGTGTCATATTGCTTGATATCAGTGAAGAATATTCTAGACAACGTTTAATTGATCAAATCACTTATTCTAATGAGATTTGTGCTAATAATGAATTGGATTCAATTAATTGTCGTCTGACTATTTTTAAAAATCAAACATTACCTGTATGTAAAGCAATTGAAAATGATGAAAAATTAAGAGTTGTAAGTTTTTACTCTCTGAACTATCTATTTATTTGTATTGATATATAGTCTATTAGATACTTACTTACTTACTTACGCCTGTTACCCCACCACAATCGAGCATAGGCCGCCCACCAGTTTTCTCCAACCAACTCTGTCTTGGGCTTCCCTCTCCAGTTCTGTCCAATGTTTGTTCATTCCTCTCATATCTTTCTCTATTTCTCGGGCGTAATGTATTCTTTGGCCTTCCTCTTTTCCTTCTGCCTTGATGGTTCCGTGTAAGGGCTTGTCTTATGACGCAGTTAGGTGCTTTTCGTAGTGTGTGTCCTATCCACTTCCACCGCTTCTTCCTGATTTCCTCCTCCACCTGAATCTCGTTTGTTCTCTCCCACAGTACGATGTTGCTGATAGTGTCTGGCCAACGAATCCGAAGTATTTTGTGTAGACAACTGTTAATAAACACTTGTATCTTCTGGATGACGGCTTTCGTAGTTCACCAAGTTTCTGCTCCATGCAGTAGAACTGTCTAGACATTTGTATTGAAAATCCTGATTTTGGTTTTGTTTGAAAGTTGTTTGGAGTTCCAGATATTTTTCAACTGTAGAAATGCAGCCCTTGCTTTGCCAATCCGTGCCCTCACATCTGCATCCGATCCACCTTGGTTGTCGATGATGCTACCAAGATATGTAAAGGTGTTAACGTCCTCCAAGGCATCTCCATCAAGAGTGATTTGGTTTGTGCATGTTGTGTTGCATCGGAGAATTTCGCTTTTTCCTTTATGTATGTTGAGACCTACTGCTGCAGAGGCTGCTGCTACACTGGTGGTCTTCTCTTGCATTTGTTGTTGCGTGTACGATAGAAGAGCCAGGTCATCAGCGAAGTCAGGTGTTAAAGTATTAACTGCGCTCTTGTTTAAAAGGCCTTACGGTTGGAGATGGAAATCTGTGGAGGTAAGGTGAGGTGTGACATTTTTAGGGTTGACTTTCTATATAACCCCCTACTTCCTTGCTGGATGTCCTAGAGAAACACTTTGCCGCTATCAAAACCCTCTAGTGAGCAGTACGACTTCGCCCTCAGACCGTGAGTTGCTGCTTTTAGTCTCACTGGTACGGTAGAACCTACAGGAGTTTATGTTGCAGCCAATATAGCTTGGTTGGGTCATCACGATAGGCAAGACTGACCTTCACGTTAAGGTGGCAGCTAAAGTCGGGTATTTAGTCCCATGTACGGGGCTATCAAAAAAACTTCGATCTTTCGTCGACGGTTCTTACTATGCAACAAATCATAAGAGTAAAATCGTGACTATCTCTACTACTCTGAGATTTGATATGACAGTTGCGTCTCTGTGCTGATGCGGTATGGTAACGTGAACTTATGTACTCATGTACGAAGTTTTGTGTTGTAGCTGCTTGACTGACTGACCGACTGACAGGCAGTTTGTCATACTGGAACAGTCCCACTAATATTTCACTAACAAAATGTATACACCTTATCCTCGAAATTCCATTTACCAAAATAAATAGATTACTGACTGTCTTTTTGGTCTTCGAAACACTCAGATCACACTTTACATATGGATCCGACACGGATGTAACTTTTCGATGACACTCAACTGAATACTACTTAAAACACGCATTATGAGTAGTACCTAAACTAACAATTAGGATAATTAACATAACATTATTTATTTGTTGTGATTATTTCGTTGAACTCCTGCTTCAAACAGATTTGTTAGTTTGACTAAACTTATACTTGCAAGCCTAGATAGTTCTCATGTAATTAACATCCTGACAACTTGTTACAAAATCATTTTTTTTGGGCACTCATAATATATTCACTTGGTATATGCAAATATACAAACAGATGTGAGCGAGTGAGTGAATGAGTGAATCGTGTAGGTTAGATTTTATTCGAATATGATAAATTATTTTGGCAGTCTGGTCAATACGCCTACAAAATATTTTCATTTTTGACTGACAATTATAATTTCCATGGTAGGTTAGAAAATCATTTCGTAAAGGCGATTTTGTTTCTTCTTGTAAACTGTTATCAAACTTTATTGTGTTATGTTTGGCATGATTGAATGACAAGTTTTTTAAGTGTGTTTTTACATTGTTTTATAAATATCGTTGTGGTGTATTGTTCTCAGAGCTGAATGCTTTGGTTGTGCAGCTTTCGTTGTTCTTCTGTCCAACACCATCAGTACAAACATCGAAGAGAAGTGAAGCATTCGAATTTCTCCACGTTTGACCTGTCTGTAGCTTGTTCTGCTAACCTCGATCTTGATTGGTTGCTTTTGACTTTAACCCTGTCGTTGTTTGCACCTTTGTTTTGATTGTATCCACCTTTTGATCTGTTTCTTGATCCTATGTCTGCCTATGATTTTTCTGATTGATTGATAAATTAGGTCAATGTCAATGTATTTGTTGATTGCTGATTGACCTGAGTACCAAGCTTCTAAAAATTCTATAGTGTTCTTTGTCCTCCCCCTACCCAGTATTTCCACATTGTACATAACTGTCGGTGTGTATTGATATCAGAGAAGAATTGTTGTGGCGTTTGACTGCTAATTGATGTTCACGAAAACGGAGCTGAAGAGGTGAACATAAGATAAAGAAACATATGGAGAGGGGGATACCATCAAAACAAAGGTGCAACACAAGGATATGGTTAAGGTCAACAGCAACCGATCTAGATCCAGGTTAACAGAATAAGCTACAGGTCAAACGTAGAGAAATTCGAATATTCTTCACTTCTGCTATCTGAAGTTTGTGTTGATGATGTTGTTCAGAAGAACGACGAAACATCCAGCTCAGAGAAAGAAACACCACAACAATCATCCACTTGAGTTACAAATCTTCTCCATCATCTCAAAATTTATGAAAGGAAACAATTTTTCTGGTAATACTTCACATTAGTACAAATGAGCAACTAAATAGTTGTAAGCTACACAAATGATTGGATTTGTGACAGAGCTAAGATTATGCCCAGACGCTCTAGTCAAAACAAATGGTTCTCTCAGACGATCACATCCTGAACCTTTACCCAACAGTCTGAGCATTGTACCAACATAAGCAGATATTATCCTATGTTTGCATGCAATCAACAATAGGTTTACACTTCATTTTGCTCTTTCAGGATACTGAAGCTATGTGCATCATTGGTTCAAAATCAGACTTTCCTAACACTACTAGTTAGATTCTCTATACCTGCCGACTTAGTTTAAGCCATTAACCGGACACTCGGTTTTCATAATCCTAATCCCGTAAAGATGACTTTCACTAGAAGAAGAAAGTGAATAGGTCTGCCCTGATTATTTCTACACATGAATGACTGTTTGAGTGTTATTCACAAGAGATAGAGAGAGAGAGAGAAAGAGTGATCTCTTCTTGCTCTTGGCCACACAAGGGTTTCTAGAGGTCTCTACATTATTTAAGCTTACTAAAAGTAAAACAAATTGTGTACATTAAAAGAACAATTGTTTTCTTTTGTTTTAAAATAAATCAAAGTTACATTGTAAAATGAAAAAAATCATAATAAACCTAGTTAAAATGAATTCTCGAAGTGTTTTACACAAGAAGATTGAATTTTCATAATACTCTTGTGGGTTGGATATGACATAATCGCAAAAATCAATAAACATTTATTGACATAATGAGTAAATAGCATAAAATCATTCACTTGGTGTTAGATCTATTCCAAATTATATGATTAACCACTTAAGAACATGAATAAGTGTATTACTACTATTCATTATTTTGTTACTTATTTTACAGATTGATGGTGAATTAAATTGTGATGAGATTTTATTGGACATTATGGAATTATGTGATCATATGATTTCTAATCAATTGATTAGTGAGTTGAATTGAATTTTGATTTTTACTTACTTACTTACGCCTGTTACCCCTAGTGGAGCATAGGCCGCCCACCAGTTTTCTCCAACCAACTCTATCTTGGGCTTCTGTCTCCAGTTCTGTCCAATGTTTGTTCATTCTTCTCATATTTTTATCTATTTCTCGGGCGTAATGTGTTCTTTGGCCTTCTTCTTTGGCTTTCGCCTTGAGGGTTCCATGTGAGGGCTTGTCTCGTGAAAGTATTGTTAGACTATCAAATTAGTTGTGTGTATTGTAAAAGTGAGTAAGCAATTCACGATGCTGTAGTGTGTCGATTTTATTGCGTGTTCTTAATATTCATAATTAGTTCGTCCAGATAATCGTTATTAACTAGCGTCTGACAGTTTATAAATCAGAAGGTGAACTCGTAGTGATGAATACGTTTATTTTTGGACACACCACATAGTGAAGCGGAGAAGCAATGTGACTAGAACGAATGAAGCGACGTGAATTGAAGAAGGCTGTTGAGTCAACTCCAAGAGATAGAGCATGACTAAGAATATATAAGACAGACATGCAACAAACGAAATAGGTACACATGAATAAAAGCGACGAACGATTGACAAGATCAAATGACAAGTGTGACACATCATGTGAGCTCGTACAAACCAGACAATAATAAGAACGAATGGTACATATAAATTGTTGCAATACACAAGTGGCTTGGCTAAATAAATTAATCGAAAGGGCTTTAACCAAGCGAACTGGAATATATGTGGAGGCACTACAATACCATTATTTCATGATATAATTAAGATTTTGAATAATGCACCAATAATTTGGTGAATTCATACAGAATTATGATATAGAAATTCGTTATCGTTGGTATTTTTTGTTCTGTCATCGATACAGGCACCTTCAGTTAATCAGTCTCTTTGAGTACGTTAGGGGGTAGCAAGATCAAAATACGGCACAAATCCATGAAGTGTCATTGACAATTCGACTGATCCATGTTAGCAGGTATAGACCACGTGGTTGGGGTTCGTGAGACTGATAGTTAGAAACTTTCAATAACATGACTCAAAATAATTTGCAATGGCTCAGGTGCAAATATTCTTTGTGTTCTCTCACATTCTAATCTTTTGAATTATTCATTGCGTCTATCGTTATATTTTGAAGTTTATTTCACTAGTTTATACTACGTGAATTATATCTTCGGACCCTAATCTTTCTCCATTAGTGCTCATACTTTTACTACCTCTAGGATTTGAACTGACATTTGGTTCTCTGTGTGCTAATATGGTGTGGCAACTTGAACTGATATACTGCCGCACTAGGTTCTACTATGTAACTGACTTACTGACTGACTGACTGACTGACCTTAAGTAGGCTGCCTCGATATGAGCATTTAGCCTTAGATTTTTTTGAAGTTAGACAGTGATTAGAATTGGAATGAAAGACATACCTTTCATTTATTTTAGGATGTACTGGCTGAATATGCTTACATTCTAGAGTTAATATTCATATTAGGAATCGAACTCTGTACATGTTGATTCAAACCCTAATATGTCATCCACTGAGCTACTGTATCCAAACAGAATGTTCAGCTTTTATGGATTTGCAACGGTAGATTACGTTTTTATGGTTCAAAGCGAAATTTACTGTGCCCAAGGTTCACTTTCAGCATTCGCCCCTGGATTTGATGGATTATGAAGACGCCAACATCTGAAAGGAAGCACGCGATACACTGGACGGACAGGATGCAGATGGACGACCTGGACTTCGCAGATGACCCACCTCGCCTATCCTAAACGCGACAGAAAATGCAAGAGAAGACTACCAGTGTAGCAGCAACATCAGCAGCAGTAGGTCTCAACATACACACAAAGGTAAAAGCAAGATTCTCCGATACAACACAATGTGCACAAACCAAATACCACTTGACGGTGGAGCTCATAGAAAGATGTAAAAACTTTAATATATTTGGGCAGCAAATTGAAGAGCACGGTGGATCTAATGTGGATATGAAGGCACGGATCAGGAAAGCAAGGACAGCATTTTTACAACTGAACAACATCTGGAACTCAGAAACAAACTGTCGACAATCATCAAAGTCAGAATTTTCAATGCAAATGTCAAGATAGTTCTACTGTATCGGGAGAGAAACTTGAAGAACTACAAAATGCATCATCCACAAGATACAAGTATTTATTAACAGTTGTCTACGCAAAATACTTTGCATCAGCTGGACAAACACCACGAGCAACAAATCAGATTGCCGTGAAAGAAGAAATCTCTAAGAAACGCTGGATGTAGCTAGGAAACACATTGTGAAAAGCACACAACTGCGTTACAACACAAGCCCTCATTTGTAACTGTCAAGGTAAAAGGAAAAGAGGAAGGCCAAGGAACATAGAGACAGACAAGAGAAGAATGAACAAAAATTGGACGGAACTGGAAAGGGAATCCCAAGATGGTAGAGTTTGGAGTATTACTGGTCGACGGCCTATGCTCCATAGAGAGGAACAGGTGTAATTATATATAAGTAAGTAATGATAAACTTCCATTCTGTTAGGATATTCATCCAATATCCTAAGAGAATTATTGGTCAATTCCTATTGGTCAATTTCTATTTGTCAAAATTATGATCGTTTTAACTGTCAAAGTCAAATACTTCAATGTTGTCCCTTATTGGTCATCCGGACTGTGAATGTCATTTCAAATGTTACTTCCTATTGGTGGTCGTCTAAACTGTCAATGGCATAGAATTCGATGCTGTTTCTTATTCGACCAAAATATATAAATACGCATTATTTGTAACGCTTTATGACCACGACCAGGACCACGACGCGGTCCCGGATCCATAGTCCAGGATCCTGTTTCTCTTCTGGAGTCGGACCTGGTACTTTCTGGATTCTTGTAGAATACAGATACTGTAGTGAAGGAGAACACAGGTGAGGGCAACCGAATTGTATTCATCGCAAATTACAGAGTTACTCAGTAAAATCGGAAAACCATATCGTAAACGGTTAATTTGCAAATCTTCAATCCATCATCAATCCATTGTCTGACATTTCACTTATTCATGCATTGTGTTCCCACTCTTCTTCCTTTCTTGATCTTCCCCCATCTTCTGCTGCTAGACATTACGTTTTCACTCGCGTCGTATACTACTTATAAGTAGCGCGCACCACACATATATATATCTTGTTTACATGTAACAACTAACCTAATAACTAGTTCAACATACCTTTCTCATCTCTGTGAATTATAAACTGTCAATCAATAAATACATGTGTCTTTATAATTTATTATCTACAGAATCTAAACCACACCTTACATCAAATGATTCACCGGAAAATCAGTTACTTACCCCCATAAATCATAGAACCAGAGTATATGAAAATAGACCAAGTATATGTAGTATTCCAAGAATTATACCATTGTATCCGGATAATGGTCGTATGACGAATGAATATAATTGTCCAATTATTCTATTATTAGGTAAGTAAATCACAGTAGAACAATCAGTTTACATGGGTATTTGAGTTTGTTTTTGTACATGTTTCATTGATGAATTTAAACAGATAGATAGATAGGTAGTGAGTGTTATCAGGACAGGAACTACTTATATATACATATATCATTGTACTTTTATTAGTGTTGCGTTTGTATAAGTATGTATGTTTGGTGTCGCTGCCTGCTCGAAGGAGTTGGATGACGGAGATTCGCGGAGCTTCCTGGAGGGGTGTGAGGCCGCGGTGGAGCTGGTGGGTGTGAAGGGACACGGAGCGGAGTTGGCGGTGCTGGGGACGCTGCTGGGAGGTGGGGCGAAGGCTAAATACGACAGCCTGGACGGTGCCGCCGGGAAGACGGTGCGGGAGACTGTCACCGGGCGGCTGATGACGGAGTTCGACAGCCCGGTGGACAGGGAGGAGGCGCCGCAGAGGTTCCGGTTGGCGAGGCTGTCGGCTGATGGTGACCCGTTGGTGCTGGCTGTTGAGCTCACGATGTTGCTGCGCCGTACGCTGCCGAGTATGTATAGGGAGTCGGGGGCACAGTCGTTGGCGTCGCAATTTTTCGAGAGTGTGCCTGCCACCGTGTCCCAGCAGCGGGAACTGGTAAACACTACACGTTGGATATATGTTGTACCCATTCCAGACCAGCGGGCAAGAACAATGACCGAAGTAGTAATCCGGCATATTGTAGCGCGTCACGGAATACGGAAGGTGATATTAACTGACTAGGGTCTTTGTTCTGAAAGTGACGACAGCTTATTAAAAGGGGGGACGAGTGTTGTGCGAGCTACTTATGAGTAGTATATGACGTGAGTGAAAACGTAATGTCTGGCAGCAGAAGATGGTGGAAGATCAAGAAAGAAAGAGTTAGAACACAATGGAATTTGTATGAAACGCATGAATCGTGACAATTGAATGATGTTTTGCAACAGGAACAGTCCAGTTCGATATGATGAACTGATATTTTGCAAATGGACGATTTACGATATGGTTTTGCGATTTCACTGAGTAACTCTGTAATTTTCGTTAAATACAATCCGGTTGCCCCACCTGTGTTCTCATTAACTAAATTTGTTTACGTGAATATTTATTTTGTCTAGCTTTAATGTTAATCGCTTAGAGAATTCGATGACTGATTTATTTTCCTATGTCAAGTTTAATCTGATTCAGCTGCTCACCCCTCAGCACTTGCCTATCACCGGTGTGGCACGCTAATAACCATCATCAACGTTTCATATTCGTCTTTTAGACTATATACACATTTAGGCGTTATTATCTAGTTACGGTTATCAAGGCAAGCAGGATATGAAGTTAAGAAATAGCATCGATTACCAACCGCCACAAAATTGATGAGTCAATCTTCATCATAATTTTGGATTTTATATTCCCTAGTGTGGACTGATCAGTTGACCTTGAAATCGCATTTCCTACCATTGATTAGCAGCTAGCTGTTCAATGCAAAAATGTATATCTTTTGATTATATCAGTAAATACAAACAATTGTTAATATATTCGCTTAAGGGAATACTGAAATATTAAATAAAAGGCATCAGAAAAAAGACGTTGAACTTTTGAAATTTTTCATTAAAGAGTTATGGAGATTGTTGTTTATTAGTGAAATCATGAATCAATCATTGTTAGACCACCATCATTAGAAACCTGGAAGCACTGGATGACCGTTTCGTCTTGGTATAGGACTCATCAACAATCTCCATAACTCTATAATGAAAAATTGTGCAATCTTCTCACAACTAACTAGCTTGTTGAGGAAATGCTAGTGAGAAGAAGTGACCAGTGTAATTCAACCCTTTCGAGTATTGGCAGTAACTATCGAAGATAAATATATGAGATTGCTCTAAATCTCTAGATTGATCAGAGTTATACAGTAACACCGTTGGATGCCGGTGCATTCGCACGCAAGACCGAAGGTCCTGTGTTCGAATCCTGCGAGTAGTGGGAGTTGTGGATGCGCACTGATGATGAGTCACATATCAGTGAACTGTTGTATGTTTTGTTGGCGTTGTGTTGAGTTGTTATCATCATGAATAAATTTAGGCTTCCTATCTGTTCTGTATAAAACATTCAACATAAGAAAACACAATATTCCCTTGAAATTCTCGCTATTCCAGAGTCTTAGATACACACTAGATATATATTACTTTCAGTAATGTTAAGTTCGTATGTAGTGAATTCATATGATGTACGGACTCCCAGATGTCCAAGTACAGCCGAGAGTAGAAAGAGCTTACTCTCTCTATCTCTTTCTCTTGTGAAATGCACTCAAACAGTCACTCATATGTAGAATCAATCAAGGAAAACCTACTCACTTCTTTCACTGAACATAAGTTTTCTTTACAAGATTGAAATCACGAAAACCGAGTGTCCGGCCAGAGCTTAAACTAGGCTGGCAGGTAAACACTGATTTTGAAGTACACATACCTTCAGGATCCTGACAAAATGAATAACTTGTGAACCTATTGTTAGTCGATTACTAACATGGTACCACATTTGTTTATGTTGCTCAACTGGTTTATGAAAAAGACTTTTGAGTCAAAGATTCAACATGTTTCCCACTAAGAAAACCACCTGTATCGATTCGGGCGTCAGTTTATTATCCTAGAGTACTCATAAGTTCAACAATTTTTGTATTAATGTTTATGCGTTTAAATGAATTTGAATAAATGTGATCATTATCCAAGAAAAATGCAAATAAACATGAATTTATCAGTATTATTAATAATGTGTTTGATTTTAAAACATAAACATTGACAATAAAATTATCAATGTACATTCAAGTACGCTAATTTATGCTACAACTTATCATAAGTCATCACACAAAAATAACTCGATAATTATTAAGGGTTATTGTAGAATTTTCAATACACATATCAAGACAGTTCTACTATATGAAGCTGAAACTTGCAGAGCTACCAAAGCCATCATCCAGAAGATTCAAGTATTGATTAACAGTTGTCTTCGCAAAATACGTCGGATTCGTTGACCAGACAATATCACCAACAACCTACTGTGGCAGAGAACAAACCAGATTCCAGTGGAGGAAGAAATCAAGAAAAAGAGCTTGAAATGCATAGGACATTCACTGCGAAAAGCATCTAACTGCGTCACAAGACCATCCCTCACCTGGAATCCTCAAGGTCAAAGGAAGAGACGAGGCTCAACGAACACATTACCTCGAGAAATGGATGGAACAGGAAAAGGAGGCCCAGGACATAGTAAGTTGGAGAATACTTGTCCTCAGCCTATGCCTTATTAGGAATAGCAGACGCAGGAAAGTAAGTAACTTCAGAGTTCTAGAAACGTAAAGTTTCCATTAGAATATAAAATTGCACAAAAAGCAACTCATTTTGTACCATTTCCCGCCTTTTTTTCCCTCCTTTCTTTTTTTAGGTGGTCCAGGCTCTGGACGAACAGAACAAGCGATAGCTTTATGTGAAAAACTAACTGATTTAGCATTTTTCAATGTGACCGACTTCTTAAGGAAAAATATTTTAGATTTTATCAATGAAAATAATGTTAAAGATTGGGATGTGATTGGACGTCGTGTACATTCTAGTGATCCACCATCGAACAGGGTATGTGTATAGTACACACAGTACAAATTTGATAAACTTGTAGACTAGTGTTGAGACATTTTTAAAGGTGTATTCTATAGAAATGGAAAGTGAATTCAAGACTCAACTTCTTTACCTCACTGAGCTAGATTAAAATGGTGTCTACGCCGAAAGTTTAGTCAATCTATGATGCTGTACGAGAATCTTCTAGTGTTTCGCACTCAGCATGTTTTAAACCACATTGGTCATTAGAACTTTGGAAATTCTCAGTCGAAAATAATTACTAGCGAGTATATGATACTGATTAGTATAGGGTTGTAAAGATATTTCCATTAAGTTATCAGATATAAGTCTATGAAAACCATACTTAACACAAGGATATATCTATGTTTAAGGAAATGGCAGCTAAAGTGTCAGTATATATCTTAGCCATGTAAACCGTTGGATTCTCGTTAATTGGCCCTAAAGCTGAGAACGGAGCGGTAGACCTGTAGTTTCTGTGTTTAAATTTTTCTAAAGAAAGTTTCATAGTTTATGACTGTTGTTGAGTTATACACAAAGATAGAATTGATTAGTTAGTGCTTTAAACTTAAGTTCAAAAGTCTTCACCGACCTTACCATGTTTAAACTGGTGACTAACTTGGAGAGGTTATTTACAAAGTTCTAGAGAGACCATGAGCGGTGGAGCAAAACTGTTGTATGTAAAGCAGTTACGCACAAACGTTATTTAACATTGATTACACGATATAACCAATTGAATGAAGTTAGTCATGTAACCTATTGGTCCAATGGTTAAAGGCTTACCATGAGACCTAAATTTCCTGCGCTAATCGATGAAAACTGTTGAAATGCTTCATACTAAGAATAAATAGCTTGATATTTTATATCATCACTTCTTATCAGCATTACTCACTTACCTACGGCTCTTATTCTCAATGGAGCATAGGCGGCTGGTCGATATTCTTCACCCTTCACTGTCCTGGACCTCTCTTACCAGTTCTGTCCAGTTTTCTTCCATTCTTCTCACATCTGTCTCCATTTATCGGCGTAATATGTTCCTTAATCTTCCTCGCTTTCTTTTACCATCAGGGTTCCAAGTAAAGGCTTGTCTTGTGACGCAGTTGGGTGCTTTCCGAAATGTGTCTCCTATCCACCAACTCTAGCGCTTATTCCTGATTTCCCCCTCCATTGTTCTGGGATCTGGTTTGTTCTGTCTCACAGTACGTTGTTGCTGATAGTATCTGGCCAACGAATCCGAAGTACTCTGCGTAGACAACTGTTCATAAATACTTGTATCTTCTAGATGATGGCTTTGGTAGTTCTCCAAGATTCAGCTCCATACCGGAGAACTGTCTTCACATTTATATTGAAAATCTTGATTTTGGTTTTAATTGACAGTTGTTTAGAGTTCCAGATATTTTTCAATTACAGAAATTTAGCCCTCACTTTGCCAATCCGCGCCCTCACATCTGCATCGGATATTAAATATTTTTATTTTAGTCGTACAATTATTGCGAAACATTAAAACAACGAATGTGTCTGTCATCATTTGTAAGTAGATGAATTAAATGTATAAAATATCATGAAGAGTATGAATTTGCTTTTATTCACTCTAATCTCATATAAACGGTTCTTAGCATTCATTAACTAAATGTTAATCATATTACAATGATAATCTGTTTTTGATTATGTTTAGGACCGAATTATTCCAGAATATTGGGTAAGTTTTTGACGTGTTTCCATTTTGTTTTGGTTATTTAAACTTTATGAATTTATCGTTTTGACGATTTTCGATACCTGGAAGCACTGGACAGCTGTTACGTCCGAGTATGAGGCTTATCAGCAGTGTGCATCCATGAAACCTTCTTGTGAGAATCAAATGTAGGACATTTGGACTCACACTCGGACGTTTAACCACTAGATCACTGAACCGACATCTAACGATGCTAATGAACCCCATACTAGGACAAAATGATCGATCAATACTTCCTGGTTTCTAGTATAGACATTATGGGGGTAAAAATTGTAGATACCATCTACTGTGCAAAGAAGTTTCTAATTAAAAATGAATGGCTATGGACTTTACGTTGACTCTGTTTCTTTAGACAAGATTAGTTGAGAATAAGAATTTGTTTGATGACTAAAGATTATTTGAAATCATCAAGCAATGATTGTTAGACCACCATTAGAAACCTGGAAGCACTGAAAGACGGCCATTTCTTCCTGGTATGGGACTCATTACCAATGCACCTGCAGCTTGCAGGATTCGAACCCGGGACCTTCGGTATTGTGCGCGAACACCTAACCATAGGACCACTGGGCCGACATTCAACGGTGTAAATTTCTAACTCATGTACAAAAATCTCCAAAGCTCTATCTGAAAATACCGTAACAGTGCTCACTAGTGATTAGCTTCGTGAGGGAATTTTCGGAGTTCTAGTGAGAAGACGTGATCAGTGGAGGAGTCCAACCCTGTCGGGTGTAGGTAGTAACTACCAAAGACAAATGGGTGAGGTCGCACAAAATCCCTAGATCAATCAGAGTTAGACATTAACCCCGAAGGTCCTGGGTTCGAATCCTGCGAGGTGCAAGAGTCGTGGATGCGCACTGCTGATGAGTCCCATACCAAGAAGAAACGGCCGTACAGTGCTTCCAGGTTTCGGATGGTGTGGTCTAACAATGATTGATTGATGATTTCAAATGTGTAAAAACACAAATCTCCAAAGCTCTAACTGAAAACTAAAACATTTGCTGAACTAAACAGATATGTATCAGTTAAAGGCTCTATAAGAAACAAGAAATGTTAAAAAGTTCGTCTGAATTCGTCAAGATATCGCTTTATTTATCCATTAGACTTTATCTATAGTTAATC